CCTTTCTCCTTCCTTAATTCCGTCACTCCACTTTATCCCTCTCCTCCTTCCTTTTCCCGCTCATTTCTTTCCCCCTTCCATCCAGCCCCCTTTACTTAACATACCCACCAGCTTGAAGATGGTATCCTTGCAACGAATTGATGAGGGTCTCCTTTCTCCACATCAGCATTGCGTCCCTTTAGCTCTGCCTTCATGTGCCTCTTCCTGACGTTTAAAACTCGAAATTGACGCTCGCGTCTAAGGAACGGAAGAAAACATGTCGTTCAGAAAAGGGTTAAAACCCGGTTACCAATTTTCCACTCGTGTTGTCATTCTTTCAAAACAACTGAGTGCATAAATTCATAGACTAACCGTTTGACCCCTAAGAGTGATTAGCACTAATTTCTCCTTGCAAATCATTCTGAATTACTCATTAAGGTTAGGAGAATAAAGGAAATGATCACCAAATTTTCTTTGTCAGTACTTTAGGAAATGTATAGAGAACATTATGGAGAATATGCATACTGATGTTAGGGTGATAGAGAATCGGACTGCGATTATCCCAAAGTCTGAGGTGTGATTCCTCGCGGGGCACTTGGGACATTATCCCAAGCTCGTAACAAAACGAATGAATTTCTTCTTTAGCTTTAATCTTCTTTTTCACCTGAGAAGTTCCTTTTCTCGGGCCTCCAGATGTTGCATGCATTCGTTCAACTCTTTGTACAGGCTGTTAGCTCTCTCCAGCTTCTGCTCGTAATGGACTCGGATATCCTGAGCATGTCTGCAATCAAATGTAAGAAGAACATCGATCAACAAAAGTTCAGCCCTCTCAAAACTCCTTTCAAATCTTGGCCGTCTTTTTTCAGTCAAAAAATAGAATTTTCAACGGCAACAAATGAAAAAGAAAACAAGAAAAATTAAACGCAAACAGAGAAAGTTAAAGAAAAGCCACCAGAGTGCGTTTAGCTGGCGTGATCCGCTTAAATTTTATATAATAATTACACGACTTTTTTCCCTTTCATCACACCCAAAATGCACCAAATTGCATCTCCGGAGCATCTAAATTTCCAAAATTTTCCGGAGAGCATGCCCCCGGACCCCCCCCCACAGGCTCGTGCCCGCAGGGTACTCGAAGGGGTGCCGTTGGCACCTCAACCTACTCCTCCGATCCATCAACCTACTCCTTGAAATCTTTTTGAGAAGGCTGAAGTTGCCCGATTGTTTTTATGTTTTGTTCAATAACTGTAAAGAGAGAATAAGACGCCTCAGAACAACAGTACAAGTTCTAGTGCAAAATGACAGAGAACATGCTAACAGCACAAAAATAGAGCTGATGGAGAATTTGAACGTGGCGTTTACGCCGGCAATGCCGTTACCTTAACTAGCATGCTTAAAGTTGCAAACAAATCCGAGCAAACACTGCATCTCACAAACGGCATTGAACAAGAGAAATCAGGGGTCTCACTCCAAAGATCTCGCTATGAATTCTCATTACTTCCCGCTATACGATTCTCATGATTATGGTTATGAGAATTTGGTATTGAATCAACTAACAATCTCCTAGTTGATATTTTTTCTTTATTCTTATTACTTGTCTGCTTGATATTGTTTTGGTATTGTAAGGAGAAATTCTGTCTTGGTCACTCCTGCCGGTTAAAGGGTTAATACTAAATATTCAAAAGTCAGTTATAAGACCGTTTATCGCTCTCTTTTGAGCCTGCTCGCAGGCTCTCTGTTTAGGTTTCGCCTTAAGGCCCTTTTTTCCGGGAACAGCCGCCTTTTACACAAGCCGCTTTTGGAGAAAATTAATTAAAACCCCTTGGAAATGTCCTGTGATATGGAACTGACTGTTATTGAACGAAGAACAGGGGAGATTCCAGGGGTTTCAATAACTGTTTTCTATAAGCGGCTGCCGATGCTGTTATAGGCGGATGTGCCGTAAGCCGACAAAACTTTTAAGTTTAAAAACACGAGGGCTTGTTCAAAGGCTGAACGGAGCGCGGTAGACTCCTGAGATCTGTAACTCACACTACAGACCGGGAAGACCTAGTAAAACAAAGAGAGATTTTGGCCACAAAAACAGCTTTAAATTTTAGAAGGCCACTTAAACAACCAATCAAATTGCGCCTACTGACTTCAAGTTGTAATCAGATGGGTAAAATTCCCAGCAAATGTTTAGAAAGTGCAGCTATTTTTCGAATAATTCTCACCGAAGTTCTTCCTTCCTTCTCCTTATGAGTTCCTCGTCAAGTTGTTGCAGTTGTTGAAGATTCTGCATGTGTACACTACTTCTGTTCTTCATCTTTTCAAACTGTTCCTTTATTTCTCCTCTCCATGTTATCTGCCAAAAAAATCAAAATCAAACTCGGCAAGATTTATTCACAGCCCCACTCTTCATTATACTTACAGTTCTTGAATAAATAACACACAAGTGATACAAAAATAGATTGCTAGCTTTTAATTGGACTGAGGCTTTGTTTCAAAATAGAATGAGTTTACATCTAAATATTTTGCAAAAACTCTCCAAAATTTTGCCTTTCCATGTCAAGCATTATTAGTGCTCTTAAACTACTCAATGCCCCTGTTTTCATGCAAACTCCACTTCTCCATCAGATTATTCAAAGTAAAATTCAGTAAACTTAATGGTGACACACAAGGTTGTATTCAAAACAAAGAAAAAGACAAGAAAACGAAAAAGCAAAGTGGAAACTGAATTAAAGCAAAAGAATACATCTCTTGGCTTAATTACAACCCTTTAACTCCAAGAAGTCATTAACATGTAACCTCTCCCTACAAAATCCATACATTATTCAGCAAACAGGTAATGAGAATACTCAAACTTATCAAGTAGAAGTTGCTTTCCTGACCTAACAACAAATTCTTGTAACTTGATTTATGAAAAAGAAAATGTGTATAGCAGCTAGAGGGGAGAATTCACCATTAGATCTACTTTGTCAAAGGCTTTATGGTATGACTGCTTCCTTTACTCACTTGACGGTTCATATAAAATTCCTGTGGTGTTTTGATCACATCCCCAGCTGCAATGTCTACATGAAGAAGAACTTGTTGGAATGATGGCCGATTCTTTGGTTTGCTATTCCTAAAAGATAGATTTTACAGCAAAAACAAAATTTATTTACTGTGCCCTTAGACCTCACAACATCCCCTTTCTATTTATTTCTATACCATAAAAATTAATTTTACAACAATCGGCAATTTCTCAATCTGATTGGCCAATTTGCCATCATCAATATGAATAAACTCAACGCTGCTTGCATCAACAAGTCAGGCAATGGTCCTGCACTGAAAGAAACCTGTGAAACAGGGTGTGAAATTGTGCCTAATACAGGAGCCGATGCAACTAAACTTTTCACTTTGGCAACCAAATCCTGAAAGTAAAACCTCATTTTTCTTGTGCCAATTCATTTTTTCATCTCCACTAAGAATTTGGCACCGACAAAGTGGTAAACTAATGGTGAAAAAATTGTTCCATCCAGGGGGGTGCAGTCATGAACAATTGCATGTTCCAGGTGATCAACATTGGTCAGCCAATATAATTTAAACAGGTTCTGAATGAAGGTTACTAATTTGGTGACTACTTTAGCACAGACATCCGCAGACTTTCTCCTGAACAGTTAACTCTAACCAGTTCAAACTGAAACATTCAAAAGTACCAAAACGTTATCAACGTTACCAACAAAGTTTCATAAGCAGTTTAAAGCCTTCTGGACAAGTGGTTGGCACTGGAAGATGTAAACTGTTGCTGCCGACACCCCAGATTATGGCAGAGGAATCCACATCCTACAAAAATATTACACTAAAACTTAATTCATTTATAAAATCTTCTAATCAGTAACCTGTGATAAATTAAGTTCTCTTGTCCCAAAATAGGAAATTATGTAGAGGTAATAGCAAAACAAACCTAATAAATCCAAATGAGTGTCCGATAATAGCTGGTACATATATAATAATACAATATATAAAACAGCTCTTAATATATGTAGTTTAACGTGTGAGGTGTTTTTGTCCTTCATACTGTTATGTGGCAAAGTATGCTTACCCTGTAAGGCATCTCTCCTGTAAGTAATTCCCACAAAAGAACACCGAATGACCTAAAAAGGTTTAAATGACA